GGAAATATCTTTATTTTCTTCCCCCCACCCACTCTTAACAGAAATGATGATTAACAGACTAGCCTAATCCAGACAACAAACAACCACAGCTGTACCTAGAAGTCACATTCTGAATAATAAAAGGTCAAGGTCAACAATGAACACATCTGTACAGATAAGGGCAGTCCTTCCTGCGAACTCTAAAGGAAGCCGAGTTGCATTTAAGAGTTATGTTGGTATATAGGATGCAGTAACACACCCCAAACTACCCCCCACCACCCACCCAACAAAATACTTGGAAGAGAAAGAAAGAAAGAAAGAAAGAAAGAAAATAAAAAAATAAAAAATAAAGAACTTTACAAAAATAAATAAATCATATCAAGAAAAATAAGGAAATAAAATAAAATAACTAAAACACAGTAATAGGCTACTCAGATATGACAGTAGTGGGTCTCTCAAAGAATTTCAGGAAGGGGTTCCACAATTTATTAAATTTGCTTTCCTTCCCTGGGTAGTGTAACATATTTTTTCTGGCATGTTCTTAAGCAGTATTCTTTTGCTTGTTCAGGTTTCTTTTTTTTTGCATCAACGCCACTCTTTGCTATCGCCAAACATCTTGTTGCTCTCTCTGAAAACACGTTCGGAGCGTTTGGCATGCCATATCTTCCAAAGAGGCAACTTGACCCTTGGCACTACTGTCACCGATGTCTTTTAAAGTCTTAGTCTTAGTAAACGAGTCTGTTTCATTACTAATTCAAGTTCTCGTTATTAAGAGAAACCATAAACATGGATGAGCTTAATGCATGCTGTGACACAGGTAATGATTTCACTATTCTACCATTCTACGCTAATCAGAGCAACCTTTGGTGTTGAAAAATTAAGCCAATGCAAAAAAATTTTAAAAAAAGCTGCAGTTCCTCGAGCGTCCACTTGAGGCTTGCTGCAATAGCCCCATTAGTCCCATACACACTCATGTTAAAGTGTCCATTTTCACCGCAGAATTAAACATGTTTACAGCCTGGTTCAAAATTCAAATTTAGTTTAAATATCTCATGTCTTTGTCAGTTGACACAGCAATCACTGTGTTAATTGAGGTGAATTTATTTATAACTCATCCATTTTTATTTTATGAAGGATACGAGTTATGCATAATATGGGGCGTGGCTGAGTTGAGGTCTGTGTGTTGTAGCTGTTTGTCAGGAAGCTTAAGATCCCCCTCAGCTCCACCTTTTTGCCTGTTGCTACGTTGACAGAAAGTTAGTTTATAGACAGTATTTTCTATATAGTGAATGCCATTGCCATCACTGGGCTACAAAACTATAATTCAGAAACTAATGGATGACATCACAGAGACTATGTCCATGTTTTATACAGTCTTTGGTGTGTAAGCACAGTCAGAGTGGTGCTTATATTTACACACATACTTGAGTTAAGTACAGGTTTGTGTGGCAATGCTCTAACACACTCATATGGCACAAATTATCAATGATGACTCATGGCCATGTACATGTGAACAAATCCTAAGCAAAGACTGAGATGTTATAATAACACTCTCTGCACTGAGTGTCTGCATTTACAAGTGCTTTTATAAAAAGCACTTGACCCCAAAACATTTAAGTAAAGCCAGCAGGAGACCGCGGCCTCAATATGAATGTGTCGCCAGCTGAATTAATGTGAAACAGGTCAGAGAAGAGGTTCACACCAACCCTCAAACCTAAATGTAAAACCAAAACCCAAAGTGTGAGGATGTCACTCTGAACAGTGAAGCTGCTGAGTGACATGGCTACAAATTGCTCTTCTGTATAACAATGACGACTCAACGGTGATTTGAGACACCCTGCTGCACAGCACAGAGCCGTGAAACAAGACTCCTGAGGAAAAGTATCCAGCTGACAGCACAGTGATGGTTCACAAAGCTGATACAATCTAGGACGGTGGTTACTGACGGGCGTGTTTGTTTCCCAAAGACTAACATGGCTCTAATGTTTCACTGTTTAGGGCATGCAGATATGTTTTTTCACTTGCACCAAAATAAGGTTTAGCTTCAACAAACAAAGTCAGAGAAATGGAATGTGTTGCAACCATTGATTGTATTTAAAAATGGATGACACATCTCCACTTCCCTGTACAACAGTGAGGCCAAAATACCCAAGAGGGTATTCCAAGAGGGTCCTCACACCCTGTGTAAGCCCTAAAAATAAAAAAATGGATAATACAGAAACAAAAACAAAGTGCTGGGTAGTGTTGTGGAAATTTGCAGTTGTGAATGTTTTAGTGAAATATCATTAAAATAATAGAAAATGGTATAAGGAAAGGCACCAGCTGTAAGTTCTTCAGGCTCAGACAAATTCATATCCTGGCGCTGCATCTGAGATGAACAATAAAGGAGATGTGTCAGTCTGTGATTGTGTCACAGACAAAACCTCGCTCGTGGTAGGAACACGAGCAGAGCATACCTGACCAGAGATGTTGCTCAGGTGAGTGGAACGTGGAAAAGGCGTACTTAAATGATGTATAATCCATAAAGCAGTTTGTGCCTTTCTTTTGGAGGGGCAGGAGGTCGCGTTGGGAATGACATCATATAGCGGTCCACTTCCTTGTTTGAGTACGGTTGCGTTTAAATCTCAGGTACACGTTTGTGCCCGAGACCACCTCTTCAAGCGGACTCAGACACAGAACCCAAGTCCAGTACGTTTGTGTTCACACTAATAAAATTAAGACTTTGGGGTCAAGTGTACCCAGCCCTAGTGTGAAACAACCCTCAGTCTAACTCCAAAATGTTCTTTGAAATAACCAAACAAGCACTGACATTCAATGAGCGGTCATATATGACGTACAATCTCAACGATAAAGGAGCTGTTATGCTGTGCAGCCCGCCCTATTCTTAGAAACACTTTCCAGGCTGAGAATTAAATGTCAGTCTAGTTACAGAAATGTCACTCTGCAATTCATCACTTTGTCATTTCCACGCGGTGACTGTGAGAGTGACTGTCTCTGCTGGAGGACCTGACCCTCATTTTACAGAAGCTTTAGTTTAATAATTGATGGCTAAACAGATATCATAAAGCGGGGACCTTTCCCTCTCTGAATAGCTGCAGAGTAACCAATCACCTTCCTCTTGGCGAGGCACACATTATTTATTTAGCAGATCCAGGCGCAGATTTATGATGGAGGAGGAAGGAGTGTCTGGATTCTGACGGGAGTAATCGGTCCTCTGCCGTCTGAATGTTTGATGCAGAAGAGAAAAACCATCCAGAGCGCCGCCTCTAATCATTTTATCACCTCCTGTATCAGAAGCCGCCGCGGTGACACTGAGGCGGGACGACATTGTGACAAGTTGCTGTGAAAGCAACGAGGGGGGCTGCAGAACGCGCAGACGATAATGTCAGGTTATGCAAAAACATGTTCAGCTGTCAACACGCCGACACCTTGGGCTGACTTAGAATGAGTGTAGGCGTCGGTTGTAAATTGAACATAAAGACATTTGCTAATATTTGTGTTCCTATGAGCAAACATTTCCCAGACACACAGCCCACTATAACCCTTCTAGGTGTATCAGTATGATGAGTAATGATTCAGTTAAGACCTCTTTTTGTTTCAGAGTCTCTGGTGCTCTCGAGGGAGGAGCTTCTGAATGACAGAGATAAAACACTGTGAGTGGTAATGTGTTTATTTGAAGTCTCTAACAGACAGAGAGAGACAGACAGTCATCTGATGTCTGAAAAACACAAGAGGAAGAAATCCATTGAGTGCCTCCAAACAAGACCTCCACAACACTCGAGATATTACTTTAAACTTACACAAAAAGCAAAAATCCACTCGTCATGGGAACGTTCTGCATCTTTCGGCTACTTTTGCCGACTTTCTGATAAAATTACACCTGAAGTAAAACGTGCAAAAGTGGGAAATCCAGAAGCCGTCCCCCTTTTTCTGGTATGTTTCCACCAAGCAGTCCAGTCCAGTCCAGTTCAGTACGGTACCAATTCATCGGCGTTTCCAAAGTTGGGAATGGTACCAAAATAAGGGATCCGTACCATCCTACTTTTTTGGTACCCTTCTGTTGGTGTGCCAAGGGTCCCGATGCGACCCTAAAGGCTCCCTTTTGTTTACTGTGTCCCTATTCTTCTTCTTCGTCATAAGTTTATATGCAGGAAAACATTTTGTTGTTCACAAAGCATCGCTCTGTAAAATGAGGTGCGACCCTGTAAAGCATGGACAGTGTGTAGTGTCTGTTTTTAGATTGGAAAGTGTAAACGAAGCAGGACGGTTACCTAACAGCATCCCTGATTCCTGCACTGCTACCTGGGCACTCTGTGTTAGAGTCAGACTTTGACAGGCGGAGCAGTTTACACATCAACACGATGAAACCTGACACCGTGTCCTCACAGCAAGCAACACAAGCGAGCGTTAGCAACAAAATCAGCTTGATTCAATTGTTCCCTCTTTAGGTGTCCGTGCAGCCCGCGTGCGACGCATAAAGCTCCTCCGGCAAAATATCACGAGTTTTCTCAAAGTGAACTTCACTCAACAGGAAGTACTTTACTGATTTGAAACTGTTTGAAACAGCACATTAAACAGCGATGTCAGCATGAAAACAACTTTTTTAATCTAATTCAGCACCGTGCCACAAGCTGAGAAGAATAACTCGTTGAGCGTCAGAGATGTGAAAAGAATTAACTCGTAATATCAGAAACTAACAGCAAACCCCACAGCAGTTCACCGCTGCTAACATGCAGCACAGTGTAGAGAAATGAAAAACGGTGTCATTGTAGCTCACTGCCTTCAGGCTGCAGGATGACCACGACATCACAACGCCAACTGTAGCTTAGCATAATGTCATAGGAGCGGTTTTCATTTTGGTGCATGGAAATGATGGACCTTCAGACAACATGTATGATGGAAGGATGTGCCAAAACAACTGGGATGGTCATTTATTTTGTGTATGATTTTTGTCATGTTCTTATATTGATATTTCTCCAGTGCTCATAATGTGGGAAAGAGTCTGGAAAGTTTGTTCTTACCTTGGCACTGGAATCCTTGCTTTCCAAACCCCCTGTGAAAACAAAGCGAGCCGAGTTAAGTTTCTGTTTTACGTTCTTACACACACACACACACACACACACACACACACACACACACACACACACACACACACACACACACACACACACACACACACACACACACACACACACACACCACACACAACACACACACACACACATCCACACACCTGCACAGATACACACACAGGGACCAGGTGTTGCATAATGTACATCCCTCACTTCTGAACAACAGCACTGAAGAGCTCTCCATTTTTAATACTCGGCTGGAAGCATCTTTTGCAATAATCCCAAATCAAAACGATGAAATCAATATTTAAGAACGTTAGGCATTATGAAGAAAAGTGTGTGGACACTTCTTGGCTCCATTTTCCACGAGCTGGGTCAGTGCACTTCACTCAGATGAAGGAACAAGCTGCTGGTGCTACTTCATCTCCTGATATAAACACAACAAAGAGCTTCAACCTTTGTGATGACGATTCAGGCCGATTCAGTGTGCAGGAGTTTGCTTGTCATATTTGTTCATTAAAAAAATGAAATTAAACTAAATCAGGCGCCTACATGTTCTGTTGTTGTTGCCTTGGTAATAAATCAGGTATCAATATTGTTTGATTATCAGAAGTACGGTTTATAGATCTGGCATCATGACATCCCTAAGGCTTTGTAGGTTTCAAATGATTCATGTAGGGCCTGCGTCCTCAGACGGCAGCGCCCGCAACCTCCGGTGAAGGAGTCATGTCCTGGTATCAGCAGCAGCATTTTGATTGGTCAGTGAGAGAGAAGTGACATTGACGAGCGTGACGTTGTTTTCAACTGTTGTACTTACTCTCTGATGTACGTCGCTTTGGATAAAAGCGTCTGCTAAGTGAATTGTAGAATTGTAGAGTGCAGCGACGGCTAACGTCGAGGGCGATTTAGCGCTCGTAAAAGCTAAAACTTCAACTTCAAATAACTTTATTTATCCGTTAGGAACTTCAGTTGTGTAAAAGAGCATCAGTGAACACTGAACAACATTGGTTTTGACAACGGGCGCTGCCAGCTAATAAAAAAACGGCCGTCTGTGGACACTTCAGGAACATCACGAGAGGAAGTGACGTCCCACTGAATATCAGCACGGCTGTGATTCAGTCTGAAGATAATCCAAGCAGCTCTGACAACCAGATCCCTGTTGATTTTTTTTTTATGCTGGACAAGTCTGTCTGAAATACAGAAACACACTGAAATATTCATATTTTGAGAATAATTGAGTTAATTGTGAATATCAAATCCCAGTTTAATGTATTCTTGTTTGTTTTGTAAAACTGAGATAAACACTGAGGACTAGAAATACACAAAGAGCAAAACCTTCTTGAACGTATGCAGCAGAGCAACAAGTTGTTTTGTCAAGTGGACAGCGAGCTCTGCTGAGGCGGTGTGTTTGGTAAAGGTCAGAGGTTACACTGTAAAACTGTCAGGGTTAGAAGTCAGCAGCAGGAAAGAGCGACCTGAGAACTCCCAGCATGCAGCAGTAAAGGAGACTTAGAGCAAACTGTCGGCAGGTTTACTCCTTTCACTGTCTCACCTAAACATCTGAAATGACCCTTCAGCTAAAAGAAGCCTGAATGCGTACATGTTTAATGAGAAAGAACTGCAACATTAGGGCAACACTTTCTCTGCATCTCTGACAGCCACTGCCCACCTCAAGTGTTTTTTTTTTTTTTTTTTAAACTGAACACCATGTGCACATGTGGAGCCGTTTATCTGCAGTGCAGGTGAAAATACTGTCAACATATGGGCTCACCTCAGGGTGCCCGTGAACTGCTGAATTTCCTGCTAAAAATCAAGCAAGTGTGCAGCTCTGCACAGTCCTCAGCGGGCGGTAAAAAAAAAATAAATATTCTGCTCGGCTTTCAAATCGAAACAATGTGCCAGGAAGGAGAGGCTGTTTCATATCTAAACAGGGTCCAATCACAGAGGGACTCTACAGCAGTAACGTTTCAATCAGGGACCAATGAACGACTTAACAGGTATAGGTCAGATCTTTTAAGTGCGGCTGTTAAAGGTACTTGACAGTAGGCGTATTATCCGCAGGGATGTCGGTCTCTGCAAGCATTTACAAGTTTGGATTGAATGTGTTGTCTCTTTCGTCGGCTGCAGGTCTGAACAGCTGAGCTAAAGGTGGAGGAAGACGTGTGTAGTGCGCTGAGGTATCGCTGAAAGGGTTAATGACGGAAAAGTCAAGAGCTGACAAAACATAACACATAATGTACACTGCCATGTTCTTTGTTTTTAGGTGACTTTAGCTCAATCGTTTGGTACAAATTAGGGCTGGACGATATATCGAGTTTATTACGTAGCCTATATTGAGATGAAGAGTAAGATATCGATACAGTTTATGCTGTGTTAAATTAACACAGCATCAAGACATTTCTGCCGCAGAGCCGTAGGTACTAAAGTTCTCTCACTAGTATCGAGCATCACAACAACGCAGACTGTATGGTTTTAAATCGCGAGGTCGGCGGTTAAAAAGTATCATCGTATCGAATCTTTGGACAACCCTAATGTCCACTGTGAGGAAGCAGGCTGACTTTGAGGTGTCCTTACTGGTTGAGATATTTTAACCTGCATGTATAACATAACATAACACAAACAGAATCCTGTGAGTGAATGTAAATGCAACATTTGAGTAATTTGCTCATGCAGGGGTCCTGGGATTCTCCAGCTACAGACAGACAGACAGACAGACTTGCCCCCCCCCCCAACAACAACAACAACAAAAAGATCAAATGTGTGCTTTCATGTCAGGGAATTTTGCAGGAAAAAAAATAACAACCCTTTCATACAAGTCACCCCATCTCTCCTGCGGACATGTATCAGTTCCACTGCTTCACTAATTATATAAACAGCAGCAAAACTCCACCCATGTGGGACTGCTATGGAGGAAAACTAGACTCGACTGCCTGGGGCTCCTGGAGTGATATTTGACAGGAAACTGCTGACAACTTCGGGACACCCATGATATCTCACTGTAATGTGTAACAGAGTCTGTCAGGAGTGTAGAGATGGCAGGATTGAGCAGGAAAAGTTGTCCCAAAGTTACATCATCATCGAGCACTGAAGTTGTCCACAATATGCAACAGGCAGCAGCAAGGAGGAGGAGGGGGGTTAGGGGGGTTGGGGGGCGGAGGTGGGAGACGGAGGACTCACCAGATGAAGTCGGTGCAGTGGCTGCAGAAAGTCGGCTGCCTGAAGAAGCGGGCTATGAATTTGTGGTTCTTCACCTCGTGGACGTTCTTTTGCCTCAGAGCACCTTTGCGAGCAAACCTGTTCGCTACGTCCGCGGTGGACGACTCGTTAGAAGTCACATCAGCCATGTCCCCCCCCTCAGAATGAACCCGTGCCAAAGCGTCAAAACTAACCCGTGCTACAGCTTTCAAAACAAACCCGTGCTAAAGCTTCACGTCGCTGACAGGGAGCGGTTTTCAGTCCGTGTGGAGGCGCAGCCCTCAGCGCGGAGACACTGTACTTACTGTGTGAGGGCTTTCCCTGCCTGTTGATACAACTGGTCCACTGACAGCTCCGTGACACACGGCAAGCTACACACAACGAGAAACCACTACATCCGGCTCACCTTCAAAATAAAAGTTGATTTGTTTTCAATTCTTTCATGTCAATTTTTGCAGGAGGCTTTTTAAACCTGTAAAAAAAATGTTGCAAGTTCCTTGTGACCCGGAGGAGGAGGACACTTATTTCACTGTGATATTAACACCCATAATGAAAGAAATAATATATTTTTTTAATGAATTATTCCAAAACTGCAACTTTTTCCCTGCCTTTTGAGCTTTTATGGATAAACGCTTCCTGAAAAGTTCAGGTGAGCTGCATGTGTGAACGCAGAAGGTTTCAGGATAAGGTTTATTTTTGTTCTTTTTGTGCCTTCACACAGATTTACCTTCCTTTGAGACCTGAGGACGCTAGGAGCCTCGCTGCTGTCAGAAACTGTCTAAACGATATCAACTGCTGGAGGGCACAAAACTTTCTCCAACTGAACAATTCTGAATCTGAAATCATAGTATTCAACCCGCCAAACTCCACTCATATTTCAAAGAGCAGCCTCGGTCCCTTATTCACCAATGTCCAACCCACCGCCAGAAATCTAGGAATAACATTTGATTGCAATCTCACCAAAATTAAAACAATACTAACCCAACCAGACCTTGAAAAGATCATCCACGCCCTCATTTTCTCCCGACTTGACTACCGTAACTCCCTCTTTTCTGGAATCACAAATAAGTCACTGTCTCGCCTCCAGCTGGTCCAAAATGCAGCAGCTAGCCGTCTTACTGGTTGTAACAGACAACATCACATCACTCCAATTTTAGCTTCATTACATGGCTTCCTGTACGTTTTAGAATCGATTTTAAGATTTTACTCATTACTTTTAAAGCACAGACGGGACTGGCTCCAAGCTATATAACAGAGCTACTGACACCATATGAGCCAGCCCGCAGTCTTAGATCCTCAGGTGGGGGGCCTCCTGGTCGTCCCAAAGTCGAGACTTAAAACTAAAGGTGACCGGGCCTTTTCAGTCAGGGCCCCTCGACTGTGGAACGACCTCCCTGAGGAGATAAGACTTGCAGATTCCCTCAATTCTTTTAAATCCCTTCTTAAAACGTACTTTTACAGACTTGCTTTGATGTGATGTCGTCTTCTTAATGTCTTCTCTTACTGGTTTTACTATTTTTATCTTCTTTTACTTCTTACTGTCCTTTTATTTATGCTCTTATCTTAACTCCTCTTATGTTTTAACTTGGTAATTTGCTATCTTACTTACTTTGTCTATTTATGTTTTATATTTATATATACTTTTTATTTTTATTAATATTATTGTTTTTTTTCATAATTTAATCACTTTTTTCTATTTCTTTTACTGCTCCTTCTTATTGCTGTTATCTTTTTATTTGCTTTTAGCTCTTTTAGTTTCTTACATCTTTTTAAATCTTTGGTCCTCTTGGTCTCAGCTCGTGTTGTTGGGTTCTTGCTTTTCCTGGGTTCTTATGATGGTTCTTGTGATGGTTGGATTATATATGTCTGTTGGGTATCGTGCACTTTGGATTCTTTTCTGTTGAATTTTATTTATTTAGTATTTTGCATTTGTTATGTTCTTCTGTGTTTGGTTTAGTTTGCTTTGTTCTTGTTTTTGCTGTTTGTCAAAGCACTTTGTAAACCTGTGTTTTTAAAAAGTGTTATATAAATAAAGTTATTATCATAGTTGAAAGAGTCAGGAATCGGGGAGAGAGAGAGAGGGGAATGATGTGCAGGTAGGGAGTCACAGGTTGGATTCGAACCCAGTCCACCCACCTAGAGGACAACAGGAACTTACCATTAGGCCATCGGTGCACATCGTGTCTTTGTTTGTAATGCAGTCCTTTCTTAGGATCTTCCTCCTCCCTCTCCTGGCTGACAGAATAACTCTCCCACTGTGAGGCGAGTGGAGGTCTATTGTATTCACATGAGGAAATACAAATCCTTCCCCTCATAATAACTATCTTTTTCTGAATAAATGACATAATTGTCTTGGACTTACGAGTGAAGTTTGAATAGAATAAATAACTTCCTGTCCTGTTTTTCTGAATGAACCGGACACCTGTTCCTCAAAACCTCAACAGAAGCTCTAATTTAAATCACTAAAGTTCCCAAACTGCTGAGTTTAACCCAGTTTTATTGTAGTTTAAAACATGGGTATGTCTTTAGATAACATATTGTATTGTCATTACTTTGTGGACTTTGCACAGGCATCTCAGATCTTTACAGTGTCAGACGTAAACCCCGCTGTGATCAGACATTGGGTAGAGGAACGCAAGCACCTCGCAACTCGTAATTACAAGACAAACATCTTGTAAATTCAGAAAAAAGGAAGCCTTCTATTTATTACACGCTCGCAAATTGCTTCTGTAGCCTACATGTGCGAACATGCAAGTCAGGAAGACTTCAGTGGCGGACTGTCCTGACATTTTCTGGGCATTTTCAGCAGTGCATGTATGAAATCACCTAAAGTAATACACCACATAGCCACAGCCCTGTAAATAAACATATTTTTCCAGGGCTATGACTTAAACGCTATACGTTTCTATGTTAACTTTAAGCAGGGAGTTTTTGTGTATCAATATAATATATCAATAGTCTCCAACATGAGAAGATGAAACAGCATGTCTTAACATCCCACCATAACCTTTTCATGAGGTTAGGATTCATTTCAGGACTGTGTTTGCTCTCTGCTGCTTCTCCTGATGAAATAGAAGTTGGATTAATAACTGTGATATAATCTGAAATGATTGAAAATGCCATCAATCAGGTTTTCTTGTCCTCTGTGAACTCCTGGATCGGTGCAGCTTTTTATATCAGTGCAGCCACAGAGGGGTTCATGATACCCTTATTGTCACACAAAACATGAAAGCAACACAAAGCGATCTTTGAAATCATCATAACGACCGATGAAACATTTCTGCATACTTAATCTGCTACAGGGATTCTAATAGATTATATCATCAACCTTTTAGGTCATACGCAAGGTCTCCTAATTTCCTCTTTAAAGTCTGTATCAGATTAAAAAGATTAAATTGCATATCCTTGTACTACAAAATACAAGGGAATATTTTTTTTCACAAGATTTGCCCTTTAGGATTAGTTTTATATCCTTAAACCTATTTCCTCTTCATGGATTGTGTAAAATCGTGTAACTTGACGCTGCTCCGCTCCGCTCCGCTCCCTGCCTTTTTCACTGCTGCTGATGTCACACAGCCGGAGAGAGAGAGAGAGAGGGGGGGGGGGGGGGGGGGGGGGGAGGGACAGAGAGAGAGAGAGAGAGAGAGAGAGAGAGAGAGGGAGGAGGAGACCCCGAGTCCCGAGTCAGGAAATTAAGAAGGGGGCGTCATCGTGTGGAGCAAAGGTGTATTACACATTTTAGCTGTTTCTATTGATTGCATTTATTTTGTGTTACACATTCAGCTTAAAGCTACAGTGAGAAGTTTTCAGCTGGTAATGAAACAGGCTTAAATTAATATTGGTGCCTCTTTAAGACCTACAAAAGCAAAACAGATCATCAGGATTAAGATTGGTTATTGCCATATTGTTATTTAAGATGCCTGAAACCTCCGAGATTAAAGTCCCCACGAAACAAAAACTCAGAGAGTATCTAACTGCGGTGTCCTGATGTGATTCTTACTGAAACGGGAAAGAACCAATCACAACAGAGAACGCCATTAAAACCAGGAACATGTATTTTTCATATCATGGGACTTTTTAAAAAAAAATTTACATTTTCCACAGCATATATTCACAGTGTCATGATTTGTACCATTATTTTCATGCTACAAGATGTCAATATTCAAACGCCCAGCTCCCAAGACCTCACCTCTGTTACACTGCCTCTGGCTCTGAAGACTGGAGAAACTGAAAACCAGACACCAGACCCCGGCTCTCACACCTCGGTCCAGTATCCAATTTAACAGACATATAACTGTTACTCAACAAGGAAAGTCTCCTGTCTCCTGTCAGGTGCAGATGTGAACAAAACATTTTTAATTTTACATACTCTATTAATCCCAGAGGGAAATTCTGGTTTACACATTCAGAGACATTCTTCCCACACACAGGTCCGAAATACATGCACACACAAACAGGCACGAGTGGAGAGATGTCAGAGTGGGGCTGCTACACATTGGTACATAGAGAGCGCAGCAGAGCTGTTGGGGGTTCAGTGCCTTGCTCAAGGGCATCTTGACAGTCTTTGGGAAGAGCCCTGGAACCTCCACAGCTACCAGACCAACTTCCATATTTTGGTCCCCACCAGGCTTTGAACCAGCAACCCTCCGGTTCCAAAGCCAAATACCTCTTGAGCTACTGATGCCCCAGAGCGGTCTCTCCAGAACTTTTCTAGACAAATGCAAAATGTGCACGTTTGGAAACGGACTTATTTCAGGCTTTGTCTTCAACTGGACCCCTTCCAGCCAACCTCAGCTCCTGCTGTTTGAATCAGCTCACAGGCAGCTCCTTCAGGTTCACTGACCGAGGACAAATATTTGCAAATTAAATCAGGTTAGATAAACAAGATGTGCTGTTCCCTGAAATCCTGTGTCTCTGGGTTAGGGTTAGCTTATTTAAAACAGCCAAGACTTAAAAAAACAAAAAACAGTAGAGATAGAGAGAGTTTTTAGCTTTAGCTGCCTGTCATATTTACATTTCATTCAAACAGTGAATCCCATCGATCAACCGATGCAGACACATTGCTTTGTCACTCATAACCAAATCATTTGACTTTGTTTGGCATTGCATAAAACCAATGGTTATATCTCTGCACTGAGATCTGAGAGTATGACCTATTGCATGCTGATACAATCATTGTGTTTCATAATAGCTTTGAGCATTAGTGGTTTAAGGCAAAATACGGTTAAAGTGCTGTTTATCTAAAAAGAGAGTGTGTGTGTCCAGGTTTTGGTTAACTTAAAATAAACAGGCAGGAGTTCAGACTTATATGCATGATCAATAGGCGCTGTCGTCAACATCTGATTGGTTATCAGGCTATCGGGGGGTGTGGGGGGGGGGCAGTTCAACCAGAAGCCCTTGTGATGGACCCTTCTCCAACTTTATGTAAGAGACAGTGAGAGCACTTCACTTCCATGAAGATGGCTCCAGGTTTTGCATTGCTGCTTCTGTGCCAGCTCGCTTTGTATACGGCTGTGACATCCAAGAAAGGTAAAATGGAGCCGCTGAGTCACTTCTTTGGATTTGTGCCTGAGAACGATTCTGAGGTGGTTTTTGATGATGTGTGGCAAATATTTCTGTCAGACTTGTAATTGGTAACTGTATGCATTTAATTGTTTTGTATCTTTGCCCCTTCTGAACTTGATTGATGATGTTCCATATAAAGCGAGCATGCACAACTTTAATTTTTAAATGTTACAATGGACCATGGAAACTTGTTTACAGTTCTTTGATACATTTAGTTTTCACCTGCAAAATGTGAACTCTATTCCTGTGAACCCTTCCCCTTATAATAACATTTGTGCTACTTCACCAGTATGTGGCCGTCCTCCTGTCACCGACGGGATCGACGAGTTGACCCTGAAACTTGTGTACGAGATCGGTGATGAGGTGACCCTCACATGTGCGCAGGGGTATCTTCCATCGACAACGACCCCTCGAAGGCTGAACTGCTCCCCCACGGGAGAGTGGACTCAGTCAGACCTGGTGTGCACCCGTGAGTTTTCAGAGGGTTGAAATCTACTTTTCTAACAGGGTGCATTTGGAAACCAATTGCAGCACACAGGAAAACAGGGATTGTTAGTCATTTCCTTTATTTATTTATTCACTGGTCTTTTCTTTGGCAGTGGTGCAGTTGTAGCACTGTTGCCTCACCGCGAGGAGTTTCTTGGTTCGAATCCCAGTCGGACAGGAGCCTCTCTGTGTGGAGTTTGTTCTCCCTGTGTAAGCATTGGTTCTGTTTCGGGTGCTTCGGCTTCCATCCAGGGTCCAAAGACATGCTCGTTAGCTCTAAACTGTCTGTGTGAATGTGAGTGGGGCTGGTTGTCTGTCTCTATATGTCCTGTGATTGATTATGTGAATTCAGTCGGGATTGTTTTGAGTAAAAGGTTGGCCTAATATTACAATTATTTGAAATGTTAGTATCAGGCGAGCAGCCTCCTGCCTGCACTAACATGATGAACAAGGAGCATCTTGTGAAATATTCTTTAGTAAAAGTTTAACAAATAACTGAAGAGTCATCTTCAGCTCCACATCAGGACTCTGATTGTGTCAGAAACTGAGTGTATTCATAAAAAAGGCAGCCTCATCATTCTCCTTATTGTGGCGGCTAAGATGGAAGAACTCCGCACAGAGACGAAGTGGACTGCAACCCGTTCCTAACAAAAGTAAAATCATAGTCCAGATAGTTTTTTATGATTTATTAAACAAAAGAGTGAAAAAATAACTCTGAACAAAAGTCCAAAAGATGAGATTATTTACAGACAGTGATGATGATGATCAGTACCAAATTAACACAACAACGTGCTCCTGGGCAGCAACTTTCAAGTTCCCCTCCGAAATCACTTTAGCCCCCACTACCACAGAATCAGAGAAGGGTTATGATGGCAGTGGCACTGTGTGAAAAGCTGCTGTAGCACCAGCTGAGAGGCTGAAGTTGAGTGAGATCCAACCTGTTTTTTTTTTCTGATGCACTTACTGCCCTGGGCCCCTTACAGATCTCAGGCCCCTGGGAAATTGCCTTGTTACCCCAATGGTTAATCCAGCCTTGATGACGGTGACGGTCAACAGAAAGTATTCAAACCCACTCCCACCCTCTTTGACTAGCCTCCCACTAGACAACTGAACAGGTAAAACAAGGGCAAACGACGCCAATTGCAAATTACCGGAAATTATATCAAACCCATTTAAGAGGCAAAACATAACAAAAAATCAACAGATTAAAATACACATAATGGCTCCTCATACAACGAATGATCAGCTGATGAGTAAAGGAAGAATGTGGGACATTTTACACATAAATATATCATAAAGCAAGTCTATCCTGTGTAAATGTGTCTCTGAGTCATGACTGTCTACAATGAGTGAGAAGCTCGAGTCACCTCGGTTGTGTTGTTGTGAGAGCCGTGTTTACATCATGTTTACATGGACGGGACGGCCTTGAGTATAAAGCTGTTGTAGTCAAAGGCTAGAGAAAAGAAGAAGAATATACTCACTGATTATTTGGATGTCAAGTAAGTGTTTTTAGCTCACGGTAATTCTGTGTCAATTCATGTGCAATATGAAGCTACGAGCTAACCAAAGTCGAGCAAAGGACAATTTTGTCTGTCTCTTGTGCTTAGTGGTTTTTAATTATGGTGCGTTCAATTCATAAGTCCTTTGTGCGGCCGAGACTGAAGCGGGGTTGGAGGCGTGTCGCTGGAGGAGAGTGGAGGCTTCATAAAAGTGGAGGTGTGGCAAAGCAGCGGTTTGTTTTGGTTTAATGCTGGTGCTCAAGGGTGACATCCACTGGATCAAAAAGTCACATTCTTCCTTTAATATCCTACAAATTATTCAAATTCAGTTGAATGTTTTCATGATTTTTTCTTTTCGTAGCTAAGATGTGCCCGATCCCTCGTCCTCTGCAGCCGTTAGCCATGGGGATGACCGAAGCTCCATTTAAGACCATGCTCAACTTCACTTGTGATGATGGGTAAAGGATCATTATATTTCCAAACAGGTGTGTTAAGAAGGTCTTTATATAGGGATGCATCTCAGCATAATTTGAACTTTCTTTTTGACAGGTATGTCATGATAGGAGCCAATAAGAGCAGCTGTTTACATGACGGCACCTGGAGCAACCCGCCGCCTCTCTGCAAAGGTACTGAAACATCAAAGCCCGGATCAAACTATAATTAGGGAGCTGATTTCTGTTTGTAATGGATTTGTCTTGTTTTATTAAATCAATAGAATACCCCGACTAAAATGAAACCCCTGGAACAAAAGCTACATATAAAGCAGCTTATGATCCAGTCTTAAGCCTTTTTCACACAGGATTAGTTTTACCTTGGGACCTCTGGTAATTTGGGATTTGACCCCCAACGTCTGTGTTTGGTGGGGCGCATTCACATGGGATAAGCGAATCCAGCAGTTTACTCCAATTTACTCAGATTTCTGATTGAAACATTGAGGCACTGCATGATAACCACCTTGTCAATTGGGGATTTTACTCAAAAGAGCTCATTTTGTGGCCTCAAAAAGCTGCACTAATAACAGTTCTGCATAGGTTTGTGTGAATTGATAAAAGATCATGTCAGTTTGGCTCAATTGTCATCTTTTGTCCTCTTCCAGCTGTGAATTGTCCGCTGCCCCAGCCACCCAGAGATGGAAGAGTTGTCCATGATAAGCCCCTTACCGGGACCACCACCATGTACGGGCTTGGCTGGACGTACGAGTGTAACCCACCGAAGGCACCAAGTTATGAGAGGGGGTCCTGCATGGCTGATGGGAGTGCGACTGAGCCACCAGTGTGCCGAGGTAAATCCTTATTCTCAGTATTCCTGAGCCATCTTTCATGGGGCGCCGATGAGAAGCTATGCATGCTAAAAATAACAACATTTCTCTACATAAAACATTTGTAGGTATAAAACATTTTAAAATATTAGGGTGAATCACATCAAACTTAGAGTAATATTTGTGAACTTTGTCAAGTAAGATATCTAGTGACTGAAATGATAGTGACTGAAATGATAATAACTATATGATCAGACATTAAGGAAACATGATATATTGAAGTGCTGGCTCCTCTGACAACAATGCAGCAGCCAGTATATCCTCCTTCTAACTTTAGATTCTGGTCCTGAATGCTCTGGATTTGTTTGGACCAGAGAAGGTAGGCTGTTTTAAGGCACCCCCACACGGCCGTTTTGGACGCCCCTCGGTTTGCCAGATATGAGAGCAGTTATCAGGTCAAACCAACAGGTGTTGCAGCGATGGAAGTGGGCAAGAGAACTGGTTCAGATAGAAGTGATTGTACCCGACCTAAAAAGCCTCTGCATGTTTCTAATAAACTCCACGAGCAGAAACGTGCTCAAACTAGGATCAATATTGGAGATGATTTTGAAAAATGGAGAGAGGTTAGAACGCAGAAAGGTTTACAGACCGATGCAGAGCTGGCTAAACACTGAAGCTTCAGGGTCCACCACATGGCAACCTGTGTGAGCATGAACTCTAGAGAGAAGGGGGCGGGGGGAGACAGCTCTCCAATTCCAACGTTTTGAATTTGGACTGCAGAACCCATTTTAAACACTGGGTGTCAGAGTTACATATTGCTCCTTTAATATGACAAAGTTCACAATTATTGCTTTAAATGTGTTTAAAGAGTCAAATTTAAATACTCACAACACATTTTTAAAAACATTTTAGAGTTAAATGTGGAGATGTGTTGCTTTTATTTTTAACCCTTGCGCAATTTTATAATCCACCCCTCAAAACCTACCTGTTCATCTTTTCCTGGTAAGTCTTTGTCCTGCATTTTTAACCTGTTTATTTTCCTCCCAGAGGTGAGCTGCTCCAGTCCCAGAGGCATTCCTAATGGTTTCATGACCTTTGCCGTGATCAGACCTCATGGCTACAAGGAGAAGGTTAAATACGCCTGCAATGAGCACTATGTTCTGGACGGTGAGGCTGAGACCTTCTGCCAAAACACAGGAAACTGGTCTGCTAAGCCAGTTTGCAGGGGTGAGTCATGCATGTGATAAATGGACCTCAGGATACATTTGAGTTTGTACTTTTATCTTTGTCTTTTTCTAGATTTACCCTAAAATTGAGTATACAAGATGCACTTTTAATAGGCTACCTTGCTTCATCTAAGTGGGCTGCATCCTAAATGGCAGTGGGTCCAAAACACCAGTATAAAATGGAGAGAGAGGCAGTCTGTCATGTTATGGCTTTAATCTATTGAGTGCTTCGTCACTGATGGGAACCGTCCTAACCGCAAGAACAGTCGGCATCCTCACAACTATCAACGTTACAATAGGCTGAGAGCTCAACTATCATACCAGTCTCTAGCAGGATGACAGGATTAGGGGCGGCTGTGGCTCAGTGGTAGAGTCAGTTGTCTCTCAACTCAAAGGTTGAGGGTTCAATCCCCAGCTCCTGCAGCCATATGTCCAATGTGTCCTTGGGCAAGACACTTAACCCCAAATTGCTCACGCTGCTTCGTCAGTGGTATATGAATGCGTCTGAATGGGATTAGCTAATTCTGATGGTCACTTTACACAGCAGCCTCTACCATCAGTGTGTGAATGTGTAGGTGTGCCTGTGGTGTAAAAACACTTTGATTAATTGGAAGACTAGAAAAGCGTCAAACAAGCTCAAATCGTTTATATCAATAACATGTGTGAAAATTTGTTAAATGCCATGTATCACTTTTATGCTGATGACACTATCATCTATTGTTGCTCAGCATCTGTTGCACAAGCTTTTGAGTTCCTGCAGTCAGCTTTCAATGTTGTCCAGTCATAAACACTGATAAAACAAAGCTCATGTTGTTTTCACATTTACGTGGAGAAACAACAAATGTCCCATTGATTTTAACTTGTCAAGGAAATGAAATCAAGGTTGTCGAAAGCTACAATCACATATTGCCAATTTGGCCTCTAAACTTAAGGTGAAGTTGGGATTTTATTACAGAAATAAATTCTGCTTTTCCCTCAGAACAAAGAAACTTCTTGTTTCATCAACCTTTCTTACTTTGTTGGATTATGGAGTGGGTGCCTCGGCCAAAGGTTTACAGTCTTTCCATACCGTCTATCACTGTGCGTTGAGATTTTTGACTGGTAGACGCTTCACTCATCACTGTGACCTGTACACTAACTCAGATTGGCCATCTTTGAAGGTGCGCAGGCATATACACTGGCTGAAGCTTATTTATAAAGCTCTTCTTGGTTTGGTGCCTTCTTATTTATGTTCATACCTTCAAAGAGCCAGAAGCCACTATGCTTGCGTTCCTCTGATGTCTTTAAACTGTCTGTGCCTTGTGTCCTCACTGAGCTCAGGAAAAAAGCGTTTAGTTTTGCTGCTCCCACCGCATGGAACTTTCTCCAAAATGACTTGAAAATGGAGGATCTCATTTCACTTGAAGCCTTTGGCTCAATCTTAAAAGATGAAAAACGGAGACAATTGGAAAGTGCCTTTGTTTCTGAATTGTAATCTGTGATCAAGATTCTGCACTTTATCTGTAAATCAATTTGCACATTGTAAATTGTTGACCTCTCTTAACTTATTTTATGACGTGTGCTGCTGCCCTCTTGCCAGGTCACCCTTGTGAAAGAGATCCTGATCTCAATGGGTTATTTACCTGGTTAAATAAAGATTAAATAAAAAGTCCATTTACCATTTACAAACTCTGCGTGGCGAAGACAGACGATAGATTTGAAAATTTGATCCAATCTGACAGCTTTAATCTGAGACTGAGGTCCCTAATTGGTTTACAAAATAAACAATAAACTGCCTAGTATCTTCCCATCGTCTGGTATAAACATGCTCTGTTTTTTCCCCACACAGCGCCCTGCACGGTTAACATCAAAAGAGGTCGTATCTTCTACAATGCCAGGAAGCTGTGGATCGCAGACCTGAAACCAAACCAAGTCCTCCATGGAGAACACGTGGCCTTCTACTGTCTGAACAAAGCCGACAGGTGTGGCTACCCTGTGGCCAGCACCTGTAACGACGGGACCCTCTCCATCCCAGAATGCTTTGAGGGTGAGCTCATTAAATGTCTTTCAAACCTCTTCAGTTTACAAGTCTGTCAAATGTATTCAACACTGACTGCAAAGCAATGGTTTTAACAGAAAACAAGTTTTTAGCACCTGAATTGACGCAAAACTCAAACCTGAACAGCTTCAAGAGCTAGGAAATAAATCCTTGATAAAATGATAATTATCTCCTTTTTGATTTAAAGTAAGAGGGGATTATAGTATTTTTACTGAAAGACTGTGTCATGTAAATCTAATTTGGGATTGGAGCAAAAATTAGACAAGTAGGAGTCCTGGATATTTGATGTATATTAGGGCAGAACCATAGACTTTAAATATGAACAGATGAAGCCTGAGTCACGTCAGCCATTTGTTACGGCAGGGGGTACTGAGGCTAATCGGCAGCAGCCGCCATGTTGGAAATCCTGTCTCAGCCTGACTTTCAGCCAACCTAACGACAGGATTTAAAGCCGAAGTTGTGGCGGGTTTTAAGCCTCTTGACGAACCGTAACATACCTGTCAATCATGTCAGCTATGCGCCTAACTATGGTAACACGCATCGTTTTCAAACAGGTGTGTGGTCTCGCGGAATTGTTTAGTGGTGGATGTTGGAGGATTATATTGTTAAATATCGATTGAAACTGTGCTCATGTCGTGGTCTCCGATGTTTATAAAAAGATTTGAAAATAGTATTTTGTGTAGCCAGCCTTACTCATGTACATTCTCTCGTAGCAGTACTTCACTTTTCTCTCTCTGTCAGGTGGACTGCAGATGACCCATGATGCCTCCATGCAGTCGTACATTTTATGATTACGGTAATAAATCTGCCTTTTTTCTTTATTCTTTAGAACCCGGCAGGGTGGAATACACATTGAAGGCCAAAAGTCTTCCATCAGAAATCCAAATGTGTGTCACTTCACCCCCTGCAAGTCCCACAAGCCCTGGAACACCTGTGTGACTCTGCAGAGAGTGACCTGAAACACCATGTGCACCGGCAGGATAGGAATTATTGGCATCAATAATAATAAATCTGTCTAAATGTTTTACATGTTTGATTTTGTCTGTCATTTTTAGTAATAAAGGAAAAGTTTTAATTATCACACTGTAGGTATGATAAGACTGTAAGTATTAAAGCTCACATATTCTCCTCCTCTTCAACCAGTTTATATAAGTCTTAGAGGTCTACAAAAACATGTCTGTGAAGTTTTTTGTTCTAAATCCACTCTGATCCTGTATTTGATCATGCCTATAAACCCCTCTATTTCAGCCCTGCTCAGAACAGGCTCTTTCTGTGTCTGTACCTTTAAATGTAAATGAGCTGTGTTTGACCACGCCCCCTCTCTGGAAGGGCTTGGGTGTCTTGGGCTTTCTTGCTCCATGTCCTATTGTTTATGGTGAGAAGGAAGACTCAGAGGGCAGAACAAACACCTAGCTGTGGGAGTGTCACCCACCTGGTGGAGGGGTTACTGCCCTTTGTGATGTCATGAAGGGAAAATCTCCAAACGGTCTGTTTGATCACACATTTTCTGAAAAGTGGAGCAGGAAAAAGACAGAGAGGATGGTCTTTTCTCATGATTGGGGGTTTGTACACAGACTAGGGACACATATTAGTGTTAGAAAAACATGGTGAAGTGTATTTAGCATAATATGTGACCTTTAAGCATATTACAAATAAATGATGTATAGCTTTCACTGTAGAAAGCTACCATGGACAGCTCTAACTATTGAATAATACTTTATAACGCATTTTTATATATCTACTGACATGACCTTTTTTACGACCCATGATGCTCCTTGCCCTGTTCAAACTGTAGTTTCAAGCCGCGATTTATTCACTTCCCTGTGACGTTTCAATCTGAATGTCACTGACACTAATGGAGGGACAAAGAGATTCTCCCTGTGTACCGTCTTTGGAGGTAGAAACAAAGGCATAACAGAGTTCTGATACGATGTGATTACACTTTCTTGTCCCCTTGAGGAAATTTGTCTTGGACACAAAGTGCTGCAAACATTCAGATGCTTCCACTAGAATCAATCAATAAAAAAAAATAGAAAAACACATCCAGATGTAAACAGAAAGCACTAGATTGACAAAAACAAAGCAAAAACATTTGAGATGGTTTCAGGGGAGTGCAGTGCTGTGTGTGCGTGCATGTCTGACTGGGTGAGTATGTGAAGCTCCCACTGTGCTGTGTCTCTGCAACACCGAAACACTATTTTAATTTACAATCTAAGACACTAATATTACGCCATCAAATCAATATGAACGTAAATAAGCTCAGCTTGGTGCGCAGATAAATTACAGCAGTAACTGAAAAGGGTTTTTCTTTTTCTTTTTGGTGTTACATAATACAGCAGGAATGTCTTGAACAAATACAATGGGGGGAATATAGATTTCTACACCTCATCAATATGAAAACTCAGCATGTCCGCTCTAGTATTGCTTAATTATTATCAACTGTTTTGTAATTATGATGAGCTCTTTGAAATAATTTAAGTTACAAAAAAAAAAAGATTGCAATCTGTTGTTTCTCAACGCTGCACTAACAAGGGAAAGTCCGCCGCTGGAGCTCGTCACTTCCAGTAAATGTCAGAAAGCTCACACTGTTATTGCAAATGGCAACAAACAAAACAGGGCTCAGCAGTGTGCGGTTACTTCATGCTGCTCTTATCTGTTGACTTAGTGAGAAACTCAAACAGCAGTGAAAGAGAGTCCCAGAGATTTGATATCTGAGCCACAGACAAACAGGGATTAACCCGGGAACGTTTTCACATTTTCCATCAGGATGGAGAGCATGCTGTGTTTGATTCTTCTTTGCCTTCATTTTACTTTCATTACAGTAACATCTGCACAAGAAAATGGTATGTGCTATTTTCACTCGCTATTATTTCACAATGATATGTGGTGTTAATTGCCCCTGTGCGGGTTTATTACTTCAGCATGTATGTGGCTCCACAATCGGGTAATGTCTAGAGCCGAAATATTTTAAGGCATTTTCCTGAGTGTTATGATCTTTTTTAAGTTTGGACGACAAAAAGGCAAAATCTTACTTCTCTGTCTTTTAATAGCTGATGTGAGGAGATTTAAGATGAACAGACTGAAATTAATACAGATGCTTGTACATGATTTACAAAAGCAGACCAATAGGAAAAATCTTGGCTTTTTCTATATTGTTATTTTTTTTAAGCTACAACAGGAGTTTAGTTTGGTGCTCTTTGTCGCCCACCGAAGGGCTCTAGGTGCAACTGCACTGTCGTAAAACACACATAGTGCTGTTAGGCCCCTCCCTTCTTGACAACATGTGTTTGTTGACAAACAGATTGTGGCCAATGAAACCAAGTTGACTTGAAGGTGCAGTACCAGATTATGCGCTAATATGAATCTGCAAGAGTATTCAGCTCGTTGTTTACTAACTGTTAGCATGTGGAGTATGTGTATGTGTATTAAGCTGTTAGCATGAGGTCTATGGGCTCTCGCTACATGTCAACATTGACGAGGGTCACTTATGATATGCTAGTTGAGATAGGTTTGAAAGGTTCCAAACTTGTAAAACCTGACTTAAAGATAGACAAGGAAAGACTGTATGACTTTCTGCACCCGGTAAGGCTGCTAACCATGAGACAACAACGACCCCCATAACGATACTACCTAAGGCCCCGTGTCCAACTTGCATTTTTTACTGAGGCCATCGTCTTTTAACATTTTTTTTTTTTAATGAGTAGAGAGCGTTCACAGCGGAAAACGGCCGTCTGGAGAAAAAGCAGAACACCCAGCGTCTTTTCTTCCGAGCGCTCAGCCTTTTTGTGCTACCACTCCGTGCGCTCGAGTTGAAAATCTTTCAACTTTTCATAAAGGCGCTGTTGATGTCACCGGCGCTCTTTTCCAAATGTATGATATTCCCCGTCATTTTGCCGCCAACATATCCTGTCTTGTACCCACATCTTCTTTGCTCCGTGTCTGATCGGGTAAAAAACGTTCTCAATTATAAAACATGCAGTAAAAAGAAACAGAGCAGTGTCAGTCACACTGCGGCCGTTGTCAACAGACTGTTGTCATAGAGACAGGATGGACGTGCAGCGCTTTTCTTCTCAGCGTACAAATGCTTCATGCAAACACTCCAGAGCGTACAGCCAGCGCCTTTCTGTAAAGAAGATGCTAGGTGGACACGGGGCCTGATGTTCCATTGCAATTTGTTCTTAATAATACCTGAAGGGATGTATACTCTGTTGTTGGATTGTTGCTTTTCTATTATCCAGGTTTGTGTTGGTTAGAAATCTGTGAGTCTGTATACATTTATCATCAAACCTGTTTCTCTCTGCAGTTTGTTTCAGGCCCAAGCTGGCCGACAACATTGACATGGAAGGGCTCCAGAGGTATTTTAGCCCCGGTTCGGAGTTAGCGCTCTTCTGTAAACAGGGATTCACCCCCATCTTAGGACCTCGGAGGATTGTCTGTGGCACCAGTGGAGATTGGACAAAAACCAAATTCAAGTGCATACGTAGGTCTCCAGATCATCTTGAGCTTCTTCAATTAAAAATGGAATTCTAACATCAGTATAAGTTTGTAATTTGAAATGCATTCATTTTAGCCTTTTTCACACATGCACTCCTGAAAATTTCTATAAAATTCCAGGACAGCCTGGCAATGAAATTTTCCAGAGTTGCCCTTTCACAAATGCCCTTCATGTCCTCAACACCTTGTAGAAATGTTACTAGAGGGCTGGGTGAAAGAAGTCAAGATAAAGTCGGGGTTAAAACACTTTGTGTTCACACATGCAGCTCACCTCAAAGCGTTAAGGAAGTTTTGTACAAGTGTGAAAAGGAGTTGGGGCTATGACTGATATCATAAGCTGTTTTCACATATGCACCTCTGAAAACTTTGAGAGAATTTCAGGAATACTGCACCTAAAATCCTCCTGATCTGGTTGCTCACACTGACATGCACCTCACAGCGGAAGATTATCCCTTTCAGACACAAAGGTATGCAAAAACTAGAATAGGGAAGTGGTGGACAAAACAACAGAGTCCGCTGTACGGTCCTGTAATGGGATTATTTGCCGTTATATCAAAGCAATATGTAGTTCACCGTAATCACAGTCTCATCAGAAGAGCAGAGAAGAACATCATGGAGAACAGAAAACAAAATGCAGTAGTTTAATTACATGCATGGAGAGCGTAGTGGGTGTGTGCAGACACTCTGTGGTCGTTCACCAATTGCAGGAAATAAACATCAGCACCCCCTCTCCATCTCACTCAAGCTAAATTCTCCTGATTAAATCCTGCTGCATTCTCACATCCGCTCACTCAGACTTTCTTTGGAAAAAATACTAGGGGCGCCTGACTCCAGATGAAACCTCAGTGAGAAATTTGGCTGTTTGCCTTTATATATGCAGCTCATCTCAAATACCTCAAGAGATTTGTGTCAGTGTAAAAACAGCTTCTGAAATATATTCCAATTTTGCTACAACTAAAGACATAGTTTTGATGTTCTATAGAAAAACACAAGGCTTAAAAGGATTTAGGGAGAAGTATTTATCTTGAATTTTCCAACACTGATTACATGATTGTATCATATATATGATTAAGTCCTACAGCTGGGAGTGAAAATAAGTCATCCTTTGTTTGTGTTGTTCTTTAGGAATAACTGGTTGAAACTGTTTTTCTCTCCTTCCAGCAAAACGATGTCCGTACCCTGATGAGTTGTCTGATGGAGAAATGTACTATGAGGATACTGTGTACCAGAGCACTATCAACTATACTTGTAATGAAGGGTAAAGCGACCACTTCTTGTTGAATTTCAATGTGTTTTCAGTGTCTGTTGCTCTTTTAGACATCCCCAAAATCATGGAAAAATTATCATCAGGGAAATGATTCCATCAATAGAAGAAATAAAATTAGGGCTGGTTTAGTTAACTGTGAACAATCAGCACATTCTCAGTGCCGGCTTCTTTAAAAACATTTCTAAATACGTAAAATGATTATGTTTTGATGACCTTTTATTAGATTTACTGTTGGGTTTTTATGCCTTTATTTGAGAGATAAGACA